TCTTTCCCTTGCCCTTCGGTGTGTATCATTTGATTTTGTTGGAACTTCAATTGATGAAAGCTCAGAGGAGTTTGGTACAGTTCAGGTAGGCCAATTAAGTTGCATCTTTTCCTCCTGTTGTCGGATGATAACAATTTTCTTGTGCTTTTGTTCCATGGATCCTTCCGACTAATGTAGTTATTGTGGGTGATTGTCAGATTCCAACTTCCTGGAGGTCAGTATTGGAGGATTATTCTACGCTGCAGATGTTTTTTGATTACTATGCTACCACAGAACCCCCTCTTTCAAAAGAGGTTTGTTCCTCTTGACTTCTTCTGTATTTGATATATTTTTTACCTTTTGCTTTTGGCATTTCAAGTGGATTAAAATTTCAAATCAACCAAAAAGCTGGTGAAGAAAAGGAAAATGTAGAAGAGGATTTCTAGAATACATAAACTTATGTTAATTGACGAGAACACTGCGAAGTATAGCAAAAATGTCAGTAGCTGGAACTGACTTATGTGGTGTACCTGACTATTATTTCAGCCCTTAAACCTTAAAGATCGTTAATTCAGCCTAGAACCCTTTAGCAGAAATTTCTTTCAAAGACTATTAATTCAGCCTAATATTTCGTGACTTGAAGAGGAGCCTTGGCGAACCGGTTAAGGTGTTGTCGTTGTGACCTAGAGGTCACGGGTTCGGGTCCTGGAAGCAGCCTCTTGCAGAATATTCTGCAAGGTAAGGTTTGCCTACAATACACCTTTATGGTGGGACCCTTCTCGAACCCCCGCTTAATGGGAATGCTTTGTGCACCGGGCTGTCCTTTCAATTTTTTTTTTCTAGGAGATGTTGCATCAATTTTTTTTCTCTGTAGCGGGTTATTAGTACTTGTGGTGATGCATGGTTCTCACTTATCCAGTTAGGATCCTTCCATGATTGTTAGTTAAGTTTATCTTGTAAATGGACTTAGAGATAGAAGATTTCAAATATTTAATGACTGTACAGATTATGTTTATCTCATATTGTTTGTCTCCTCTGCTTGAACTTCTAGGCACTTGAGTGCTTGGTGAGGTTGGCTTCTGTAAGACGCTCTTTGTTCACAAATGATGCTACACGCTCAAAGTTTTTAGCTCATCTGATGACAGGGACGAAAGAAATCCTACAAACAGGAAAAGGTATAACGGATTAATTCTACTATAGGGCTCTGTTGGTGTTGTCTTGCTACTAAGACTGGGATTTGGTTGGGTAGAATATTTACATCTTAATCGACTGTGCCATTTTATACTTGTTACTCCTTCCTGGCTGAGGTTTTAGTCTATGATTTATGCAAGCACATGAATTAGTTTCGGTCAATACTTGTTGATCTGGTGTTTTCCTTAAACATCGCAGTGAAATTTTCTTATAAATTCAATACCTTGCTTTCCCCACTTTTCACCTTGCAATAGTAATTTTTCTCGTTTGGATCAGGTCTTGCGGACCATGATAACTACCATGTCTTCTGTCGTCTTCTTGGCC